TTCCAGCTCGACTCATGGCACAAATTCCGAAAGAAGAGGCCCAACTTTCTAATGCAGCTACGACAAACGGACACATCGGCGAACAACCATCTGTAAAAGGAGGTGCCTTTACTCAAGCTCAAGAAGCTGAAACTCCGTTTGGATTTGGACGTGTTAGTAGCTTTTTTCTTTTCAACAAGTGAAGAAGAGCTGTTATTCTAGAGCACAATTGTGTTTGGTTGCAGGGCGAAGGCTTCGATAAGGGTGCAGATGAGCCAGAATGGATCGTCAGCCGTGAACGTAGTCAAGCTGATGCCACATTTGAGAGCCTTGGCCCAGTTGATGGGTTCCTCAGCGGTAGGAATACTTTTTATACCGGAAAATATGTTATTTGCCCTATCTTCCTTTTCTATTTTTTTTTTATCGTGGAAGCTAGATTTCCTACGAAACTGGGAAAGAATAACTTTTTTGTAGTATTACTGTATAGTATATATTGATGTGAATCCATTCGTTATGTCTCTGCTAGATTTCTGCTTTGCACACATTCACCCAAATGGGAGCTTCTGGATAAGATGCTGAGCAAATATCACTCATGCGCAATAGTCGCACATGTTTTTGATATGGACAATCTATTTTGAGGAGCCGCTTGGTTTTGAACATTAATTTTGGTCATTTTGAGGTCGGGCAGCTAAGGAGCACATGGTCAAGTCCAAACTTCCTAATGCAGTACTTGGCAAAATATGGAAATTGGCAGATGTGGACAGAGACGGCCAGTTGGATGTGGACGAGTTTGCTCTCGCCAATTATCTCATCAACCTGAAACTGGAAGGTTGGTTCACTTGCTCTTCCTCAAGTTTACTATTGATTCTATTTTCATCCATAGTTGGGCACCAAATATGTCTTTCCAGGTCATGAACTACCGACCGAGTTGCCTAAACACCTTGTCCCGCCATCCAAACGCGACATGGAACCCGTCTATCCAAAACTAGACGACGAATAAATTACAATGGGTGCTGTCTGCGGAATGCTAGTCAAGCCGTTATGTCCGTTATGGAGATGTACTCCATGTGATACTGAAGTTCAGTTATATTGTTCATATGAGGATGGCAATTCGATTCACTTTATTCTTTCCGCCCTGTAGATAGTTCTAGACATTTGAAATTCTCAAAAGGAAATCGCCAAATCAATCTGTTATTTTACAAAAATTGCTTTTACTAGATTTAGAAATACGCTGATTGTCGCTTAGCTGTAGGGTCCACACGATGCCTTTTGCCTGAATTACCTGTGTGTATACAGTTGCTAATCTCTAGGCATTAGATTTACTTATTTTGCTCCTCTCTACGATTTTTTTTTCAAACAATCACTCAAATTCTTATAAGTCCATGAAGATGGTCGTGTTTGACGTTGGGAACTATCTCATCGTCATTTCGAATGTGAAAATGTGTGTTCTATGTCGCGATTCAATGTGATATTTATTATTTTCTCCTGTGCTTTTTACGATTTTCTTCTAGACAAAGAAGTTCTTTAATTGCAGGTTCTATGCTATTCATTCTTTTCATAATCTTGAATTCTTCGATTGATTTGTGTTTTATCCCTCTATGAAGAAGTAAAGGTTAATCTTAAAGTCTTTTGAACAAAGGTAAATGATTATGTCTAGGTTCAACAGGAACTAATATGCCCGACCTTACCCTAAGCTAAATTATTAGATTCCATGACAATATATTGAACTGACTAATGAGCTCACGCATTTTCTTATCAGCAGTGTTTATGATTTGCAATTTCATAGATTGCACAACATTTGTTATATCTATGATTCAAACAAAACCACACACTTATTCGACTAATACTTGTAAAAAATGTAGTATGTAAGAAGTATAGAAATTATTTAGTTTGAATTCAATCGCATATGTGTAATAATGGAACTATAAAATTTCTCCAATCTTAGCATTTTAAAAGTCATCATAAACTTAGTTTTTCTTCATGTATTTGTCCCCCTGGCATACCAATTCTGAATTTCGAAATCTGATAACTACTTCAGGTTCTTATGGGTAACCGTATGACCAAGACATACTACTGCTGAGCTTGTTTCAATTCATGTATCGGTTTAGCTTTTCTAAAATAGATGGCATTTAGATTTTTCAGCACTGGGACAGAGGTGGATGATGTGCATCATGGTTCGAACGCTTGCCGATAAAAAAATTTTTT